GAAATGAGAGATAAGAGCTAGGCATCATCATTGGGATGATGCCATCCCATCCCAAATCTCTGAATGACTTCAACCACTTGTTAGATGGGAGGCAAAAAAGGGAGACTTTCTGAGGCACCTCATAAATCAAAAGGCTACCAGATAATATTGATCTTTCAGCATCTGATAAACAGAGAATTTTTTCCCATCAAAAACTTTTGAAAGAGTATTTTCTTAGCGTTTGCACAAAATTCACAGGTTTTCAGTCCTCTGAAACAGGTTAGACTGACATTTTAAACATGAGATTAATGGTCTATTCCCAGTGATGTGGTATAAAATGTTTCCTTCTCCTATCATTCCGATAACTAATACATTGATACATCACAACACACCCGTACTTAATACTGCAACACGGTTTCTTTTGTTGCCCTTCTTTATTCTCCTCCATTTTCTCTTCCTTAATTTCTTTTCTGGTTATGGTACAGGCCCAAGTCCTACATCTCAGTCGTATGCTTTCCACAAAGATCCTGTTCATCACTGCTAACTTCATGACCTGGGCAAGCTGTCTTCAACCCTGACCTCTAATTCACACTGTAACCTTGAGACTCTCTGACTACCTCAGTACCAAACTGATCTTCCTCCCATGTTCCTTACATGATCCCTATGGCGACCTTCCTGTCCCAGTTTAGACATCCAAAACTCTAACCTTATTGGACCTTTCTGGTTGAGTTGGATTCCATCTCTACCTGCCTCTACACCAGTAGTTCTCAACGTTTCCTGATCCATGACCTACTTTTAAGCCCAAATAGGAGCTGCTTCATTTTTTGTCACCTTAAGCTTATTTTTTTGTTCTTTTTTGGGCCTCACTCATTCATTGGCCACTGTTACACATCCACATTCCTTATTCCCTCTGTGACTTTAAATGAAATGGGGGAGAAGTTAGATTAGTGAAATGGAATGAAAGATATATCAAAGCATCTTTTGGATAATATTCCGTCCATGCACTTCAGACAAAGATGTCAAAATCGGGAAGAAGGGTTGTGCTGGGTTGAGAACCAATGAAATAAAAGATTATGAGGCTGTTTCATGCAGTATTAAAACTGATTCTTCAAGTAAATTCTTCAATAATTGCCTTCGAAGAGTTCTTATCCAGATGTAATAAATTTGCGCTCTCCTTGTATCTCATAAAATCTCTGGACTGTGTTGACAACAATTCTAATATGGCTTAACAGAAAGAAGGGAACAGAATAAAAATTGCCACATCGAAAGTTTATTCCTAGCTAATGAACTACAGTGGATGCATTTAACCATTAAAAACTAGTTTAACTTTGAACTGTTAACAAATTATGAAAACATGGGTTATTTTTTATTTATTTCACATGAGTCATTTATGCTGCCTCAAGGCAGGTAGAGATAAACTTTTTAATGCAATTCTATTAAAGTTCAGTCTTTTTCTCTTTTGATTCTCATAATTTCCATTTGCTCTAATAAAAACCTTTATTTGCTTCATCTGCCTTTCTAGTTGCAATCTTATGCTCCCTGAGAGGGGTTCCCAGAGACCATAAGGGTTTTTTGGAACCCCTGCTCTCCAAGGTCAGTGAGAAATCCAGCCTAGGAGAAAGAGATCTGACCTTATACCTCTTTGAGGTTGTAGAAAGGTATGCAGACAGTGCTCTTCTGATGGTGGAGGCACCCATGGGGGTATGCTGGGAGATTCTGTGGATCCATAGGATCCCAAACTTTCCTGTTCTCTAGGCACCACCATTCCCATGAGAATTGGGAACAACTTTACTAGCCTTGAAGTTGGCATATTTTATCTCTTTTTGAAATCAGTGGGAAATAAGCTTTTTTATTTAAAGTAAAAGCCCCCTGAACAATTAACGAGGGGAGGCCTCACCACATCCTCTGTCCTGCCAGCATAAGCTGGCATGGTTCCTCCACCTTTGCTTCTCCCTCCTGCTCCAGAACTCCACGGGATCACTCTTGTCCAAGAAGTAATTAGGATTCTTCCAGTTCAACACTCAAGACACCATGGCCCTCCAGAGTTTGCTGGATTGCAACTCCCATCACTCCGATCAATCTTTGTGCTGGCTGGGGCTGATTGGAGTTGGAATCCAACAACTTCTGGACTCCCAACAACTTCTGGTCTTTTACCTTCTCATGGTAAAAACATTATTATTGTTTTTGTTTATCATAACATTTCACTAAGAAGCTTAGGGTGGCATGCATAGGGTAAATAGAGAGTGGTCAGCAACAGCCAGCAGGGATCAATCTTCTTCTATTTTTTATTATTATTTTTAAATTAATTTTCTTTTCTCTCATTACAAATATACTTATAACATACAGCTTACATCACATCTCTCCCTCCCCCCTTTTGGACTTCCCTCAACTTCCATTTTTGATTTATTAACCTCATTCGTATATTCTGCTGTTTTCTACAAATATCATATTTTTCCTTTTATTACATTATCTGTTTCCTATCCATAAAGTTGTGAATGTTTATTTAGATCCTACCATCAGGTCAATATTCTTTCTTTGTTTCTGCAAATATAATATAAAAGGTTCCCACTCTTTTTCAAAATCCCTATTGTCCTTTTCCTGAAGTCTGTGTGTCAGCTTCGCCAATTCCACATAACTCATCAGTTTTTCTTGCCATTGTTCTTTTATTGGAATTTCTCCAGTCTTCCAATTCTGTGCTAACAGTATTCTCGCCGCCGCCACCACCACTTACATAAATAGTGTCCTTTTCTCTTTTGGCAGGTCTTGCCCAAGGGATCAATCTTCTTCTAGTCCAAGTTCCTCAAGAAATGGGGGCAGAGGGCCATCCATCTGTATGTCACCTGGCTATTCTTAGGGGAATGGCAGGATAATCCGATCAATCAGCCGTCTGTTTCTTATCTATCAATTTCAAAGAGATGTGTAAATATAAACGCAAAAACACAGAAATAATAGGCTGGTATTTTTGCTGGTATCAGCAATTAAGAATGGCAAAACCATATGACTGCAAGTGGATTCCAAGAACAGAAATCTGTGTTTATGTGAAATTCATCAGGAAATGAACAAAGAGACAAAAGCTTTTCTTATAATATTGGCTGTCTTGAAACACAGTGAAGTGCAATTCCAGATTACCCTTCATACCCTTTATTTAACCCTTGTGAATTAGATTTAAAAAGAGGAAGGGGTGGATTGTTTGTCAAGTGGGTTGTTTTAACTTTGCAGACTGGCTTCTTTTGCAAGTCAGTAAAATAAACTTGCATCTTCCTTCTAGAGGGGAAATTCCCTTTTTCCTCAGACTGTCATACCTTTACCAAATGTGTGTAGATTTATACCTGCCTTGCATTCTTAGTAGGGCAAGTAGTGACCAGTAATCTAATTAAAATGTCAAAGTGAGCAGTCCATTGTGTATATTCAGCTGGGTTGTGAAGAGAAGGGAATTCTGTTTGTTCCCTTATGAGGAGCTTTCATCACATACTTCCTTCCAAAGTAATTCCATTTGTTGGCTAGTAACCTTGCAGAAGAGAAAACAATTACAACCAAAGAATCACTTCTGTGTCCTGGCTGGTCTATTTATCTCTTTGTAACAGGGTTATTCATCTGTCATTTCATCAGATAGTTTCCATCATAGTTGGATCTTCTTGATAGACATGTTTTATGCATGTGTCCTTCTAAATCGCACCCTTTACACACACACTCCATTCCACTCTACTCCACCAGATTATCGCTGCCATGTGGGAAACATTTTATCGGTGTGTTCCTCAAAGTATCCAGCAAGAGATGAGTAGTAAAAACATCTGAAAAATAATATTTCAAGTACTTTTGGAATTCAAGCAGTGCATTGCAGCCTGAGGCTGGGACTCGCATGGTCAGCCACTAGTTGTCAGATGTGGGTGGGTAATCAAGTTACAAGAAAACATACTGCGTGCATATCTGTGAAAATTAGCCTTTCGATTGCAGCTCATCCTCAGGGAAGTTTCTAACTAGAAAATGGTGAGGGCTGGGCCTATAAGCACCAAAAGTGTGTTCTATCAGATTTTTACAATTAATAGGTACTAACATCCATTCAGTCTCCCTTTTGTTTTATCTCATAAAGGCTCGTTCACAAATAAGGATGAGAGAGCCCATCAATTGTGGCTTCTCTCAGCTTCTCATTTATACAACTTTAAATTTGGTTCTCTGCATTTCCACATCAGTTTGCATTTTTTTAAAGAAAGAAACCTAATAAATATTTATCAGCATTTTAGTGTGAATTTATTCTAGCAAACATGCTTTTGAAAAGCAATTTTCCCTACTGCAATGCATTTTTGTTATTTTCACCGGTGCACACCTTACCACAGTATATCCATTTTTGTGCACATTACTTGGGTGGGGAATGGCACTGCAATTTTGGAGAAGTGTGAATTTTGAAAGATAGCTGTGTTTCGGTTTGCATATTGTTTCAGAACTGAATGTGAACTGAATGGAGTATCCCCTCTGTCCCTGCATCCCTGTTCACAAAGGCCTGCAGATCACTTGATTTACATTCATTAGTGAGGCTGCTGGTTCACAATTGTCAGGTTCAGGATACACATTTGTCCAGTTGATAATGCTCAGCTATATTATGAATCAAGCATCATTTCCTTTAGAAGGTCTTTTCTAGCTTGAAATGTAAAATGAGGTATGGTGCTAATGCAGCCAGCATTCAGCAGACCAGGTGTCCAAGACAGTTGGTCTGTAGGCAGAAGTACAAAAGCACTTCAACATTCACCCCCTTACAAATTTCTGTGAAACTATAGTACATTTTACACCGGCTTCCTTAAACACTCAATGCATGGAGGAGGGAGCAGTATTGCACCACTGGCCACACTAACAATGTTGTCATTCCTGCTGTGCCCACTCCAATATAATACTGATGTTCATGGTTTGATTATTGGGTTAGGCAGATGTGGAGTGTCAGGAGTAAACACAAAATCATAGAATTGTAGAGTTGGAAGGGACCCTGAGAATCATCTAGTTCAACCCCCTGCAATGCAGAAATATGCAGGTGTCCCATACGGGGATTTAACCTGTGACATTGGTGTTAACAGCACCACACGCTAACCAACTGAGCTAACATGCCACCTTGTGCAAGGTCATCATTTGATGCCTTTCCCCCAGCTCTTGCAGCATGGCTGTGGGCTTCGCGAAGAAAGTGCAAGGCTCTGGCAAGATCCTAGAGCCCTTCCTCCTCCTCCTCCTCCCCAAAGCCTGATAAGTGCTTGCCTGGCTTTGGGAAGGAGGCAGGAGAACTCTAGGACCTTGTCAGTGTCCTCACACCTCTTTCGTAAAGCCAGGCTTTGAGAAGCCGCCGCCCCCCCGGCTGTGCACCCAGTGCTGCTGCACCACTCGTACTGCCATAAATCCTCCTCAGGGTGTGTGCAAAGCTGAAGTAGGGCACTTCCAGATTGCCTGTTTATCGAGTATATGTTTGAGAGGACGTGCATCATGGTGCATCAAAGCAGGTGGCATTCCATTCTCCTCAGTGCATTTACTCATCACTTTCCTTCTTGCAAAAAGGAACAGCATGATTGGGGACAGCATGATTATTGCCCATAGCTCCTAAACCAACCATAATCATGCAGCTTGATTTTGTTAGTAGGTGGTTGAATTCCCACCCCCACCCCAAAATAGCAAAACTCTGGAAGTGTCCTGTTCATACTTGGAAATGACACCTGTAACGCCTTTTGATTTTGCTGTCTTAAAATGGCCTAGCATCCTGCAAAGCTTTCTCTCTTCCCCTCCACTCCCCTCTTAACCAACTGGGTGTATTTGGTTTTTTAAAAATATTTTTTACTGTATCACATCTTTCCCCCATATGTTTATTTAAACAATTGCATTGAAGCATGGCTTTCATACTTTGATCCCAGCTTCCTTGCAGTCTTTTATTAGATTTTTTTAAGGAGGCTTGAATGTAGGCTTCAATTGTTATTGTTAATCACCAAGGGAATACATGTACCTCTATGCAGTGTAGACTGTCAAAGGTTCAAGTCACTTAGTAACATTTATGCAGCTCATCATTAGCCCTGTGACTTCCTGAAGGAGCTCATAGTTTAAAAACTACAGTTAGCACCACAGTGTCATGTTCAGAACTGTTGCGAGATCCCATGGGAAAAGCAGCGGAGCTGGAGACATGAGGTGAGGCTGAGAGCAAAGTTGCTGAACCAAGTCAGCAACCATTGTTTAAGTAAAAATGTTCAGACCATCTTAACCAAATAAAGCAGAAATGGCATAGGATACGTATGAATGGGTACATGCAAAATTGATTTAGATTGGCTATAGACTGACCTGTCCATCCCTTGTGTGGCCTTGCAAATCGAAGTTGTATAGTGAGGGGAGTTTGCTACTTCAGTGAAAACTTGGCCATAGTTAAAAACAGGTTAATGGAGAGCCTTTTGTAGATTTTGTGAATGCACAAAGGACAAAAGTATGTTTGCATTCTTTGCATTCATTTTGTGGCTTGACATTTAAGCATAATCCTTGAATCAGGGCGACTGGAATCTGGTGCATAACAATTTCACTTCCTTCCTGCACTGATTTTTCCCAGGACATAAGGTTGAAACTCTGTGTAGGTTTGAGATGCTGCTGTGTTGCTGAAGAGATAATCAGATATTATCCATCGCTAGTAGGATTTATTTTATGAACTTTGATCTTTTATTACAACATTGTTTCTTCAAAGGCATTGTTTGTTCAATTGGATTTCCCCACAAAATCATAACAAATACTTAGTCAAATAAGAGCACTTGTAATGGTGTTAAAAAATACAGGGCATATAATGCCTTTTATTGGGTTCATTAATGTCCAAAATGCTGAAGGTGCGAGCTTTGGAGTCACATAAAACTCTATCAGATTTAAGTGTTCAAAGCAACAGTAATGAAAGTATAAATAAATAAATTGAAATTCTATAAAAGAAGTCAGCATGAACTTTTTCATTATTCAGTAAGAAGCAATCAATTGTTCAACTTGCCTGCTGATGTTTCCAATTTTATTTTACCTATAACAAATGCTAATATCCTGTTAACATTTGCAAAAGCACAGCCATAACATTTTGAACCGGTGTAGCTTCTGTTTTAAATGCAGTACAATGAACACAGACATCCCTTGAAATTTGCAGTTCTCTCATTTTGGAAATGTAGTTCTTCAGCTAAGTAATAGATACCAAAGTGCATATGCTAGAGTAAAGTGTGGACAAAAATGCATTCATATGAGAAAATAACATAATTTTGCAAAATTGTATATATTTGGGCATAATTGCATACAAAAATGCATATGCTAGGCAACATTCACATGCAAATGCTGATGAACTTTCATGAGCACCTTTTTAAAAAATAATAACAATAACCACAGACTAATATGGGCACACGGAGAACTGAATTTAAACTTGGAAAAATGAGAAACAGAGAGCAACAAAAAATGACAGATTTGCCCTTCCCTCCTAGTGGGGATCTTTCTAAATCAAGGTGGGTGAAAGGGATGAGGCAGAGGAAAGGAAGTTGCCTTCCTCCATTTTTCAGGTACTGCAAATGGCTGCAGCTCTTTTCAGCCTTTGCAATACTAGGAAACATCCATAGAACTGTGAATAGAGTTCCACATATGCAACAGGGCTACCCTGCATTCTCCTTTGTACTGCAGCTTTTTGCATTGCTTCAGAAGTCATTCCTGATTATTGAGGGACCCTCCAGAATGTTGTGGGATATGGCATGGGAAGCACAGCAGGAGAAAGAGGAATTGCCAGAAATCAGAGATCCCTCTTGTACAAACTAGGGTGTCTCCGGTATTAATAAGTTTAAGGCTGCCGTCCTATAGCCACTCACCTTAGCATAAGTTGTCTTCTTCGGCGATCACTCATAGCCGAGTAAAATTGTCTTCCATGAACACAGTCTTAACAGTGTGTCCATAGGTGACTGTGGAGGCGAATTCACGACCTTCCACCGTGGGGACTTAGGTTTCTGGGTGGGAGTTGATCAAACGTGCCTTCCTCTTAGCTTGTTTCTCTCTTTCATCCTGAGTTTGAGGGTCTTCAAAGTCCATGACACCTTTGGTAAAGGCTCTTCTCTAACTGGAGCACTCGCAGGCCAGTGTTTCCCAATTGTCAGTTTTTATACTACAATTTTTTTTAAGATTTTCATTGAGAGAGTCTTTAAACCTCTTTTGTTGACCACCAGCATCACACTTTCCATTTTTAAGTTCAGAATAGAGTAGTTGCTTTGGAAGATGATAAACATGCATCCGAACAACATGACCAGTTCAACAAAGTTGATGTTGAAGAATCATTGCTTCAACAATGGTGATCTTTGCTTCTTCCAGTACACTGACATTAGTTCATATATAATGTATTTTTTTCTGGAGACACCGTTGATGGAATCTTTTGAGGAGTTGGAGATAGTGTTTATAAGTGGTCCGTGTTTCACAAGTGTACAGTAAGGTTGATAGTACAATAGCTTTGTAAACAAGCCTTTTGGTTTCCCTGTGAATAAGTAAGCCTCACTGGACTCGATAAAGGACTGTAGCTCAGTATTAGAGCGCTAGGACTTTGCATGTGAAATCTGCTGGGTTCAGTTTCTGGCATCTCTGGATAGGGCTTAATGATAACTCTGAACTCGGTGTGAAATCTTGTTCTGAAAGGTAACTCAGAACTCTTTTTGAAATCCTGGAGAATTGCTGCCACCCAATGTTGATAACACTACCCTAGATAGACCAAAGACCTCACTTGAGATAACACCTGTTCCAAATAGACATGTATAGGACTGCATTGTAAAGCTTTTGTGACATGCTAACGGTTTGCCTGTAATGCACCTTTGAGCATAGCTCAAAACACGACAATAAAATTCGGGAGTCACAAGGTCTAAGGAAGAGTGCAAATGCCCTGGTTGCTCATGGAATTTTCATTTCATTTCATATGTTTTTTAAAAAGACACCTCTACTGTAGGTGAGGGGATATTTCACTGAAGCTGGGCCTGTCTTTTTCTACTGAATGCCTTTACAAATATATTTTAGTTATCAAGACCTAACCCGCTGCTCACTCAGATTTGGCATGCTGGAGAAAACTTGCAAACAAGGATTCAGACTTCAGTGTAGACATGGGGCAGTCAAGATGCTAAAGATTTTTAGGAGGTCAAATGATTTGATTAGGAAGTGGCACAGTAAGCAACAGTTTAGGCTAAAATAATTTTGTCTGGGTAGCAATATTCATATCAAATTAGTAGTCATGGGAATTACACGTCCAATTTCCCCAGAGGCCTTTGAAATTGCAGCCTTAATTTTTATTGGTCTAAGGAATAAGTTGAAACTTATTGAGCAGATGACTATTTAAAAAGAAGATGCTTTAGCCACACAAAGCAGACCTCCATTGTAAATCCATCCAGAAATAGTTACCATACAAGTCCCCAGTGTGTCATTTTCTTGCCGGCATGTGCTTTTTCAGACAATTACTGTTTGCATGCTATTCTGGAACACCAAAAGTTTACGAGCTGTGGCTAAATATGTCATCAAACTCGTTTGTTAAAGTGTCATTAATGGGGTTTGCTTTGAACAATGCAGTTCTGAAGTTTGCTCTTGGCGCATGGCAATGACCAGGATCTGCTTCGTTAATGCAACATAATCAAGCGTGAAGCGGTGCCAGCAGAATTATGTGGTCAATGCAGCACTGATGCTATGGCAGTGTGACATGCTGATAAAGCAACGGCTTGGATCTAGACTTTGCTCCTGCCGATGGAAGCATGGAAGTGACTTGTTCCAAATTCCCTTCCTCACTGCATCTCCTTGCACCCCACAAAATTCTGCTCCAGAGGGATGGGGGACTCTCCAAAAGCATTCAGGGGATTTCACTAGGTTGTAGGGGGGAAAGGAGAATCTGCCAAAGTCCCCCACCCCACTTGCTGCCCGTGGAACCTCCTGATTGGATCAATAACATTTTGTAGATGTAAGGAGCAGTTCCATTTGTGGAATGCCAAGTTTGGATCTAATCCAGTTATGGCACATTATTATGCACATCTGTGCAGAAGGAAGGTAAGAATATAGAGTTCCACAGGGCTTTTTTTTTCAGCCAGAGCTCAGCTCTGGCACCTTTCAGGTGGGCACCAT